TCATCGACGAGACCAAGGAGAATGAGCGTGTTTCTGACGTGGATGTTGGCAACTACGGTTGGAAGAGCCTCTATGCTGTGGTCAGTCCCCTACCAAAATGAGTCCACCCCATAGTTTCTATTTTTTCTGGAGGACTGTCGAGTTTAGATGGCCTTTCAATTTGTTTGCTAGTGTTAGTTCATTCACTCTCGCACTATGTTGATTTCACCCTCGAGGAGGTTCGTGTCCATGTGGCACGTGGCTCGTTCAGTTCGAGCCTTCACTTCGGTGACCGGAAACAACCTCGATTTCATCAATTTTGATCCTTACAAGACCGAAGGGGAGGCAGTCAAACTGTAAGTCCTGTTGTTATCGTTTGGGATCCGTTTTCTTCGGCAGCCATAATTTTTTGAACGGAAAGTGGGTGCATACCGCGAAGACCACGGACATTGTAGACCCCCTTACTGGAAAGCCCATGCTGAAAATGCCAAACACAAGTGTCAGTGAGCTCGACCCATTCGTCAAGTCCATGCGAGCTATCCCCAAGAGCGGTCTCCACAATCCCCTGGTAAGACCACCTTGACAGATGCATATCGTCTCAGTGAGTATTGGACTCACCCTCTCAGCGTAACGTAGAGAGGTACCGTCTGTACGGCGACATTTCACACAAGTTGGCGGCTGAGCTCCGCAAGAAGGAGGTTATGGATCACTTCGCTAAGTACGTGGTTCAATCGTTTTCCCTCATTGCTTTTTCCATCTCGGGCAAGTCGTACTAGTGTTGATGACTTGGTAGCTGGGCCCACTGATCGCTGTTTGCAGGTGCATTCAGAGAGTAGCCCCCAAGAGTTGGGCTCAGAGTGTCGCTGAAGTGGACATAGTCCGTATATTCCTGGAGAACTTCTCGGGAGACCAGGTCGGCTGCCTATATTCTATCGCCTCTATCAGGTCCGACTAGCAGCTGTCAGGTCCGATTTCTCGCGCGTGGGTTCACAGTTTCTGGAGACCGAGACGGTCAGCAGAGTCAGGGCTACCGATGGCCATACGGCCCAACAGGTGGGCCCTTCCTTGTCATCACCATGTGTGTTGAATTGTTTATTCATCAGCTCTGATCGCCCCTTTCAACTTTCCCCTTGAGATCCCGGTACTACAGCTCATGGGGGCGCTTTATATGGGTAACCATGTCACATTGAAGTGTGCCTCGATGACATCGATGGTCATGGAGGAGTGGCTCAGACTCATGCAAAAGGTGGCTCGGTAGGGCTTCGGTAGCTGAGAGCACTCGATAGGTCGGTGCTCCATCAAGTGACGTTAATATGATACATTGCGGCGGTAAGGTGGCCGAGGCTCTCCTCATGGACGGAAAACCACGCGTGACGCTCTTCACTGGCTCCAGCGTGGTCGCAGAGAGGTTGGCTACGGTAAGGCTGCTCTCATGGAAGATCTTCACTGTGCGCTGTTTGTCTGCTAGGTCACAGCCGGGCGAATCAAGATCGAAGATGCTGGGTTCGATTGGAAGATCCTTGGTCCTGTTCGAAACATTTCGTCACAGCTTGAGCACGTCGCGTGGACATGCGATCAAGATGCTTACGCTCACACTGGGCAGAAGTGCTCCGCTCAGAGCATACTGTTCGCTCATCACGACTGGGTGGAAGCCGGCATCTTCCAGAAGATGGGTCAGATAGCCAGAGAGAGGTCCTTGGACAATCTCACAATCGGTCCCGTCCTCAGCCACACTACGGCTGACATCCAAAGTCATCAGGAGGAGCTCTTGAAGATACCAGGCGCTAAGGTCCTGTTCGGAGGCAAGCCATTGATCGGGCACACTATTCCCCAATGTTATGGGGCCTACGAGCCCACCGCCGTGTTCGTTCCTCTCGAGGAGCTAGTCAAGCCTGGACACTTTGAGGTATGTACTAAGGAGATCTTTGGACCTTTCCAAGTGTGCACTGAGTGGAAGAGTGATCAGTTGAAGCTCGTCTTGGACGCTACTGAGAGGATGAGTGCCCACCTCACAGCCGCGGTTGTTAGCGATGATCCACAAGTCAAGAACGCCATACTCGGGGTCACTGTCAATGGGACGACCTACGCTGGCGTCAGAGCTAGGACCACTGGAGCCCCTCAGAACCATTGGTTTGGTCCAGCTGGCGATCCGAGGGCTGCTGGGATTGGCAGCCCTGAAGCGATCAGATTAGTGTGGAGCTGCCATCGCGAAATTATTCAAGATGACGGTGGCGTGCCGGAAGGGTGGGTGCGCCCGACACCGTCCTAGATTGCACGATGGATCAAAAGACGGTAGTGGTCGATCTGATTGTTGAACATGATGGAGAGGTTTCTTTGATAAGTAGAGTTTTTGCCTTCAAAGTGTATGCGCATCCTATCGGGAGAAAAGGAAGTGTCCCGGCTGACGATGGCCTCGGCCTGATAGTAGCATTACTGGCTCGTCTAAACGCTCATTGGAAGGGCATCTCGTGCATGGGTGTTAGTCTTATACTAGTACCAGTATGACTAGTAGTCTACTCAAGCCGTATTTTTGACGTAGACTTGCCCCCACACACGAGTAAATGCATGGCGTTACGAGGCGATAACCAGTCGTGGGGTGCCGAATATGATAACCCCCGATAGTCCCACTGTGTCACGCTGAGAGCACATTATCAATTCCCTTGCCTGTGCGAGAGGAGATGAACAAGGTAGTTCACCTTACCTACTTCCTGGTAACCAATACATCTCGTTCCCACTAAGGTTGACAAGTGAATGTACAAGTGAGACAGCGTTAGTCGTGACGTCGGCGTGCTACACATCCAAATTTGCCTGATTTATATTTTAGTTTGTCGCACTGAAAAATATTACTTCAAGTTTGCCACAACTAAAAGAAAGTTCGTTACGGTTGGAAATGATACATTCTGATAAGAATCGCTCGAGTTTGACAATACACACTCAAGTTTACCAAAATGAACATGTTTATCTGTATCCTACTTGTGCAAACGCGACACATATGTCATGCTGGAATTGAGAGTTATGCATGGGTCTAGCTTTGACAAGTTATACAAACAAGCAAAGACTTCCTCGACCGTACAATAACACCGTCATATCATGCTCGTTCACTCGGCAGCAGGTGAGACACTGATTCTATGTTGCTGGACCGTGCTGCTGTAGACCACGTTACCCGGTTGCTGAACTGTGTAAGAAGGATTAAAGCTAGTCGGGGCGGTAGGATAACCAGCAGGAGGCATACCAGCAACGTGACCAGTCCACTTGCGCTCACGCTCCTGATGCTCTTGAACCATCTTCTGTTGATGAGCCTGGATATCGAGCTGCATGGCGGTGGTTTCGATCTGCATACGCTG